TGTATCTAGATACATATCGTATCACAGCATCAATATCTAGATACGTATTGTATCGACTACTATTATGAGATACGCACCCCCACTGTTTAGTTTTCACAGATGCATCTAATAAACCTTAAAACTACAATATTTTCTTCATATTGCTATTGGGATACATACCAAATATTGTAATTTATCTCAGATAGTTCCGTTTTTCTTCTTTTACCTAACAATAATTAATTTCAGCTTCATCTTGACAATATTTACCTTGAGTAGTCAAAGTTGAATCATCCCAAAGCAAAATGCTGATGATACTTTTTTGTTTAACTTAGTTAAAAGGTGAGTCTAAAATGTAATCTTATAATAAGTGCTAATTCATTCTGTTATTAATGGTAAAAATATTAGTGAACATCAATTATTAATTTTTCTAACTTAGGATATTATTGTGTAAGTTAATAGTAATATGGATTTCTTAAGTGGGTTAATAATTTTTAAAGTGGCATTGACTTCTATAGGTAACAGTAGAATTTCAAAGCTCAAAAGCTGTTTTATCAAGTTGATAAAGTAACTTCTAATTAAAATTATAACTTTTCACGTTTTAAAATGTCATTTTAATAATATTCATCTAAATCATAAGAAAATATTTGCAATATTTTTAATAAGACATTCAAGTCATTATTTAACATGAATCTCAAACTTTTTGAATATTTATTAGAATTGTTTTCTTTCTGTACAAACCAAAATGCTCTAACTATGTAGTCTGGTTAGAAAATATTTATGGTTGTTATGAATCACTCCCAGAGATTCTTAACCCTCAAATTACCAACTTGTTTTCATACAGTTCACTACCCGTGATGTCACCATGTTACATCATATTGAGCAAATTTAGGTTTTTGTCTGTTAGGACAATCATTATAAAGAACTGAACATGACATTTGAGTGAAATCACTTGTTTTTGTAAAATAGATGGGGAACTCACTAGTAGTTAGTGGGAGTAATTTCAGTATTGATGACACTTTTGTTTGTTTACGTGTTTTTGTGTGTCTTGTATGTTATTAGGGATTCTTAAACCAACAAAATCATGGGCCCATAAACAATTTGTTGTTTAAATGGTTTCTATAAATTTGATAGAATGCTGAAATTAGTTAATTCTTAGGTTAACAGAAATATATTGAAGCATATTGCAGTAAAAAAAAAGATTTATGAGATAGACTACTACTACTACTACTGTGTTGTTTTGATGTGAATAGTTACAAAATGAATGGATAATCTTTAGTGATTCTGTTAGTGTTTCTTCAGTTTAAAAGTTGCCCACAGTGGAATGGCTTGTATTTGTTAATAGTTTAAGTATTGACTCAGTGTGAGGCTTTAAGTATTTAGATGTATACTTTGCTGATTACTGAACTACAGGTATACAGTTGCTTGTGTAATAATGAAAGTACTTTTTATTCCTAAAATGTGAAATAGATAAGCTTTATGTGTTTTAATAAAGGTATATGACATCAAGGCTTATTAGTAAATTCTATAAACTCAAATCTCTGTTATCAGACATTATTGAATGACTTTGTGTATGTATTATGAAAGTTCAAAACGTACACATAATAATTAAATTCTCTACCTAGGGACCATGCAGAGTGTCCCGTGACTGCCTGCAGTTGTAAGTGCATGTCACTTGATGCTGTAACCAATGTAGCTAATGTGACTGAAAAATATTCCTGATTGGATTTTTGCTGGACCATATAATGATGTGAGTTGCAAGTATCATTAAATTTGAGTGTTGTTTGTGATTAATACAATTTTAGTCTGTTTATACAGGTGTGTGTGTCTAATTTTTATACGGGTTTGTAAAGTCAAACTGGAATAATTGATAAATGTGTATGTAAAGTCAAAATTATCCAAGTTTAGTTCAATAACAATTTTAATATAAATAGATGTACATGTATGCCAACCAAATCTATCATGTTTTTTATTTTACATATATAAAGAATTAGTTATGTATATAAAATAGCATCAATTGCAATGACAGGCATTTCTGTTTATGAAATTGTTTTGTAGCTCACTATGTTATTTCACAACTTTCATGCATTCTGTGATTACATGTGTATGTGTCAAAACATTTATGAACTGATAGAATTAATAAAACAGTTTTATTGAGCAAAACTAAACAAGAGGTGTACTAGGATTCCACTGTAATTTGTTAATATGTTTCCTATTTTTTTGTATTCACTTTATTTGTATGCTACTCTGTTGATGAAAAAGTGTACCATAGTTGTATAGGTATTTAAAAGTAAAAGTTTTACTAAGTCAATCTATAATTATAAGATGTAGACATTTTACAAATAGTAACATCACTCTTTGAAACATTTTAATTTTTTTCATTATGAATGTACATGAGACAAACTTGTGTGTATTTAGGTATTAAATTAATGAAGAAGCTATTCACTGATTTGTACTTTTAATTAAATTACAACATTGTGAAAAAACACACACACACACATACATATGCATGTATAACTTCTTTGATTTACATAAAAGAAAAACTTCCAAACAACTTTAAAGCAAGAGGTGGCTTTTATAAAGTAGGATATAGTAGAAAAAGTGTCAGCACTTTAACATATAACATATTTTACACTCATGGCTGCATACTTGTATATTTTTTAACATTAAACATTTTTCTTAAATAAAACAATATTATGGGTTACATGAAATAACATTATTGCAATGGTCTTTATTGTTTACAAAAAAAAATCAGCAATTCGTAAAACTTTTTGTAGCTTGATTTGGAAATTTCTTTGTGGATCATTGTGTTAATTACCTTCATAATTTTAATTTCTTCTACTTATATCTCCAGAAAGGTTGCTGCTGTAACAAATATTTAAAATTGTCATGATATGAAAGACTGTTTAGTTTAGATATTATTGATTAATTTATTTGTGTGAGTGAATATTTTATTATTGTTTAGATGTTGTTATAATAAGAGTTAAAAGCAGACAATTGTAGGAAGTTTGGTTAATAATTCATTGATATTGAGACTATCAAACATTACGTACAATATATTGATGTTGAGAATAAAGAAGGTGGGCAGACAATTAAGTGATAGATATAAATAGTGTGAGATGAGCAAAAACAGCAGATAGATAATAGCAAGAAAAGAGTAAAGTTACAAGGCAAGGAAAAGTTTGGTGTGAAGTTAACTACCGTAGAAGTGATAGGCCTAACAATTAACATAAGCCTAATGTTTGATATGTTAGAATAAAACTAACAGAAGATAAGAAGAAGAATTATTCCATCAAAATGTAGCTTTAAAGTAACTGAATCAACCTGAGTGCACTTTGACAAAAGGAACAGAGGATACTTAGAAGAAAGAAGATCAAATGATTACGGTAACTTGCACCACAATTGTTAGTGAATCACACATGGAATGCTAGTGTGATAGTAATAAAGAAGATAGTTCGGCTTATCAACTGCAATTCTAAAGTAATTGAATAGGCCTAAGTGTACTTTTGACAACAAGAAGAGAGCTAAATATATAGTGTTTATGATATACCTATAATCTCTATAGTGTAAAGAATGTACTGTACATGTGTTTAACTTGTTTCGAATATATATATATATATATATTATTTTGTACTATTAAGAAATATAAGTAAAAGCCTTTTATTTTGACAGTTGGTGAAAAGAATAATATATATTTTAAATTCTGAAAAAATAATGACAGCCATTACTTCATAATAGGTTCATTGTCTTTCAGGATTAATAGACACAGTTGTAGATGTTTTAAAGGTGTGTTTACTTTGAAACTAATAGGTTTTCAAAGCTGTTACAGTTACAATAGGATAAATCAGTGTGGGTAGTATACAGTAGTCATATTGGTTTAAGGTAGCGAATAAAAATTATCTTTTTTTTCACTCAAGTATAATTTATCTTACCATATAAATATTTGAATGAAAGTAAAAAATTATAATTGAATGCAAGTGTAATCACTCTGTCCACTGCTATGTGAAAGATGTGGTTTGATCAGTTGAGATCATAACTGATCAAATCACATTATGAATAAAAGTAAGTAACTTGCCATTAGAAGCTGTTAGAACCTGAAGATCTGTGAATGAGAAGAACTATTTGTTACTGTTGATTGATACTTATACACAGTCAATTTATTGTGTGTTAAATGTCTTAAATTACATAGTTAAAGTTTGATATGTCTTAGTGTTCAGAAATAATTGTGTGTGCTCTTGTTTGGAGAAAAAAAAAGGATACAGAAATAATTCAGTACAGACATGTTTTATTCTTGTAGGAGCTTGGTCCCAGATAATGAACAAGATAGTTACTATTACTCTACAAGTTTGAGTGAATACATGCATGGTAGTGTTCCAGTGTGGACAACACAAATGCTAAAAGACTGAATAGGTTGAACTCATCACTACAGGAATACAATATTCATGTTGTGTTCTAGAGATGCTGTTCCATAGATTTCAAATGTTATTATGATTAAGCTGTATATTACATAATGTATTTACATATAACTTTGTATGATTTAATGTATAAACTTTACAGTTAAGGAGCTGTTTGAAAATCTTTATAAGTTCTCAAAAGTAAAAACTTTGGATAAAAAGAAAATACATGTAAGAGTTTATTGTTTTTATGTTTCACTGTATAGAAATTTGATCTTTCATAATGTTGCCAAAGTAGTGATTCCCCAATTGAATAAAGATATTGTAGTAACTTTGAATTATTTTGTCTTGTAAAGTACTTAAGTAGTAAGTGAACTTTTTTGATCTTATATATATACACTTGGAAAAAAGTTAAGCACCCCCAAATATTTTTCAGGATTG